ATTATCAAATATTAAAAATTTCTTATATAGAAAAGTGATATATATAAAAAAATGCTTTATATCAAAGCTTATCTAGAAATAACGGAAATATATTTTTAATCATTTTTTAGGATGAACACGTTACGTTATACGGTCTTAATCGAGACATCATGGTCATGTTCCGGCTTGACGTCGTTGCTCGCCGATTTCAGGCATAGAAGATTAACATACAGAGAATGGGTACCATACGATTATTCATCTTACATGGTATTCTGTGTTACGTATGCTCATCAGTTTCTAAGTACATTCTATTGCGCTACTGTGAATGTCGCTTGCGATACTCTCATATGCGGCCTGTTAATGCACATATGCTGCCAAATCGAGATCTTGGAGTATCGCATAAAAAAACTCGTGAATAAGCAGGATACTCTGGGCTACTGTATATATCATCACAACAGTATATTTGAGTTAGTTATTCTAATAACAATTCTTGAAAAAAATGTTCATTATTTTATCCAATTTTTATGATATATATATATATTTAATTGCTGTGTTTTGGGGATAGAAAACAGTGATATAAGTTAAATCTTGTTTCTATAATTGTGAAAAGTAAAATCTAAGAGTATAGAAAATGTAAGATTGTCTTTTTTTTCCTGGATCAAAATGAATCAAATTCCTTCAATCTAAAATATATAACTTATTATTATCGACTTATATTATTGTTCTACTAAATAATGTTTCTTTTTGTATGGCAGAACGCGCGTGCTTTTCGGTCCAATATACAACTATTATGACATTAAAAGAATAAAAATTTTATTATAGGTTTGCATATTTAGTAAATGAAAGATTCTCGCAAATAATCGGATTCCAGTTTATAACGAGTACATTGATAATATGTTCCAATTTGTTTCAACTGAGCAAATCGTTCATGAGCGCAGACAATATTGCATTAATCATATATACATGCTGCATGTTGACACAAATATTTATTTATTGCTGGTTTGGAAACAAAGTCAAATCAAAGGTAAATATCTAATAAAATTTTAATATTTTTATTTTAAAATCTTTTGTGCAAAAAATATACGAGAAAATTTAATCAAACATCTTATCATAACGCTTTAATTACTCTTTTATTATGCCTGTTATTAATTCGTGCATCATGAATAAACAGTATAATAGATGTAATGTCAATATTTAATAATATTTAAAAAAAAGAAATGCATATTAATTTATAGAGCATTCAACTAGCGGATAGTGTTTTTCAAGTGAAATGGCCAATGCTAAGTAATAGCCTTAAGAAGGATCTTCTTATAATTATGAAACGCGCGATAATACCTATTGAGTTTACTACTGCACATATCATTAGCTTAAATTTAGATTCTTTTGTAGCGGTTAGTATAGAAAATTCTATCATATTATGTGTTTGTGTATGCACAGTTGACTAATAAAATGTCATTTGTCTTTATCACGTTTTATTATTCCAGTTGCTTAAAACATCATACTCTGCTTATAATTTATTAGTACGAGTATATATATGTATATATACGTGATCCCTCCACTATCTTGGATGTAGTTGAAATTTTTGTAAATTAATAATTTGTAAGCAAATGTAATAAACAGATTATCGATAGTAATTTTAATATCTATTGAGCCTTTATATCCATATAATAATTATCCGCTAACATAACAAATTCTTAATATTATTTTATGATACATATAGTGCTTTTACATTATCAATTAGACACATAGTAATTTGTTAACAAAAGCATTAATATTTGCAGAAAAGTATGATTTATACAGGGTGTTTCCTAAGTGATGTCGAAAACTCCAAGAAATGATTCCTTGGACGATCTTAAAGAAAAAAGTTTCTATGAACATGGATCCAAAAATATAAAATGGACAATACTTAACAACGATGTGAAGAAAGGTTTCTTAATAATCATGAATCGTGCAACGATACCAATCGAATTTACCAGCGGAAATATTCTGTCAATGAATCTTGACTCATTCGTGATGGTTTGTACAAGAAAACATTTTTTCACATAATAAACATTTAATTTTTTTCATTGATTATATAATTATTTAGATGCTCAAAACATCATATTCGCTTTTTAATGTACTGGCAAATTCGCAGAAATAGTAATATGTAAAACAAAATTAGAAATTGTTATTTATATTTAATCTGTTACATTCATATAATTGAGAGAGAGAGACACATCAAAAATAATGATTAGCTTATTAATTAATTATTGCCAATGAGACATTTTTGAGAAAATATATATCACAAAGTTGTTAAGATATGTTAAATAAAAAGGAATAAATTCAAATGATCAAGTAAGTCAGAATACAAGAGTATAGAGAATGTAACTGACTACGATATGGATAATATATATAAATAGAATAGATATATTTATGTATAAGAAAAGTACCGTTAGATTTTTGATTACGGCTTTTCGTAACTTTTTCTCATTTTTTTCAGATATATTTTTCAAAGACATATGTCTTCTATCGGTTATAAACAAAAAAGGCATTCTATAGTTAAACAATTTTATTATTTTTTGTGCTGCGTATATTTATCCAAATTTTTTTGTTTAAGCTGTGAAAATACCAGTAATGTTGTATTGTAAAAATAATATATTAATTTTTAATACCATATTTATATATTAAAAATTTTATATTAAAAATAAATGTTTGTTTAAGCTATCTTATTATTTTCTGTATAAAATCAGTGTAAAATATCCTTATTAATTTTTAAAGTTACAAAACCTACTAAAATATTTTAAAGCTACAAAAAAATTTTAATTAAAAATATCCTGTTTAATTTTAGATACTCATATATGGTGAATGAAAAATTTGCCAGAATAGTTCCTAGTGAGTTTATAATGATCACGGTGGTAATGTGCTACAGTTTGATTCATATGGCTTTGACATCGTCCACTATCGTTTCTTATGTACAAAATGCCATGGTTATAGCTTGCACACTAGCACCAATTTTTTACTATTGTTGGTTTGGCAATGAAGTCAAGCTAAAGGTAACTTGTAACTAATTTTAATTTTATAGCCAATAATCAGTTTACATAGAAAGAATTACACAATAAACGTTATATTATCGCGAGAGAATCTCCCTCCCTTCTCTCTTTCTCTCTCTTTCTATTTAAATGTATACATGTATAATACACATAGAGGATTTTATCACGATTTTATTTACAGAGCCTGCAATTGTCGGATAATATTTATAATACAGAATGGACAATACTTAACAACAACATCAAGAAAGGTCTCTTAATGATCATGAATCGTGCGACGATACCAATCGAATTTACCAGCGCAAACATTCTGTCAATGAATCTTGAATCATTCGTGATGGTTTGTATAAGAAAATATTTTTCTACGTAATAAACATTTAATTTACTTATTAATTATATAATTATTTAGGTGCTCAGGACATCATATTCACTTTTTAATGTACTGGTAAATTCGCAGAAATAGTAATATGTAACACAAAATTAGAAATTGTTATTTATATTTAATCTGTTACATTCATATAATTGGGAGAGAGAGACACATCAAAAATAATGATTAGCTTATTAATTAATTATTGCCAATGAGACATTTTTGAGAAAATATATATCACAAAGTTGTTAAGATATGTTAAATAAAAAGGAATAAATTCAAATGATCAAGTAAGTCAGAATACAAGAGTATAGAGAATGTAACTGACTACGATATGGATAATATATATAAATAGAATAGATATATTTATGTATAAGAAAAGTACCGTTAGATTTTTGATTACGGCTTTTGTTCCTGAGCTATTTTAATCGAAAGTTTATAAAACTCCGGATAAGATACTTGATAGCGCCGCGGCCCCTGTACATAGGCAAAACTGTTGAGCCAGTAAATAATTTTTTATGTACTTGGCGACGCGATGCTACCGCGTCGCTTAATAAATAGAATTGTTGCAAATATGTTTTTGATGCTGCATTTTCATGTTTGTTCTCATATGTAATATTGATCAATATATTAGTATATAGCTTAATATCTATTTATTAATAATATTATATTACGAAATGATATTATATAATTAATTTAATACAGTGCAATTTTTATAATATAATATGAACTTACGTGTTACATTTTCGACATATTTGACACTTTTCAAAGAACGAGATTTAGTAGTCTTACATAATGTTGAATTATTTCTACATTGAGAAAAAAAAGTTGTTTACTTGACTAAACTCGCCCAACTAATTACTATTTCTTTGTCTTTCTTTAATTGAAATATTTAAGTATTTAAGTCAAATATACATCATGTTAGATTTAATATGTCGTATTTGACTTAAATATTTAAATATTTCAATTAAAGAAATACAAAGATATAGTAATTAATTGGACGAATTTAGTCAAGTTAACAACTCTTTTTTCTCAGTATATCATTTGACTTTTGAAAAGAATGTTTAAGCAGGAATCATCAACTTAAACACATATGCAATAAAATACACGGATAAATCACAACATATTATTGCGCACTGGAGACGCCATTGCAAGAGAATCTCTAATATTTCAATAATAATGCAAATATTTTATACGAGAAGAAAAGATCAGTCAAGAATCGTCAAGAAATTGGGATGTTGAGTGGTTACATATATCTTGAAATAAGATATCTCTAACTTTCATCATGCGATAATGATTTAGCCAGATTTCATGATGTATAATCGTTTGAAAAATTTCCATAAATTTGAAAAATGTCACACGTTAAAAAACAGATATTTAAAAACATTGTTATAAAGTATGGTTTAATTTTCTTATTCACAAACTTCAAGAGTAACGTTCTGTTATATTGAAGATGGACTACTTAATCTTAATAAAAAATCTCATGGTATTTTATATTACGTATTTTTTTTTAACATCACTTACCAGATGATAGATTCCATATTTATTCTCCGTTTTACTGTTGATCGCTTCATTTTAGGATTACTGTTGCACGTTTATTTTCACATTGACATCCCGGGTGTTGGTTATTCGAGATCGAGTGATACGTGATTGTGTACATCATCGTATCTTGATTAGAATATTAGTAAAAACTACAGCATGAAGATTTGAGAGTATATGTGCGTACACCTATATAATAAAAGTAAATAGAATTGCATAATTATAATTTACATAATTAAAATTTGCATATATATTTTATCTTCTTAATACTTTTTCTTTGTATCATCTCTAGGAAAGATATTAAAACATTACGATTAGAAAATTAGTTTTATTCTGTCATTTTAATTTTTAAATGATGTATATTGCAACTAGCGTGCACTAAATATACATTAATAATTATGTTTCCCCTTATTTAGGTCAACGATAATATTCACAATATTATTTTAATTGTTATAATAATCATCTACGAAAATAGACGATGTGTTTAAATTTAAAAGCTACTATGGCTAGCGACTTCTACAAACTCAGCGTTTGTATTTCACCGACAATCATGAATAGAAATCGATATGCAAAATATAGTATGCGATGACATGTCATATAGTGAATAGCGATAGTAATAAATAAAACATTTTCAAATCAACAACTCATTTCTTTGTGAATATTTTATGAAAACAACTTCAGCTAAAGGTAACTTTTATATTGATGAAGGTGCATCCGCTTTACTTTCCGCTTTATGAAAATATTATTCACCCCATCGCGTGACAAAAATTGCTACTAAACTTATATACATGTTGTCATGAAAATAATATTTCGCGTCGTTGCAAGATCGATATAGTAATGGTAATGATAGAGATGGATAAGAAAGGGTATAACAGACAGTGCCGTTGTCAAAAGATTGGCTATATCTCGGTTGTGCCCCGCTTTCTAGTAAAATTGCTTCTTTTATTTTGTCATTTGATGACGCAATTATGAAATAATCGCATAAATTTTCCAAGATTTACTTGAACGATAATTATGCGATAGTAATAAATTACTTTCGAAGACATTTGTGACAGATAATTAAATGCAACGTCAAATAAACGGATGAGCAAATTTGTGATGAAAACTGTAAATACAGCAAATAATATAATAATATTATATGTCAAAAGATTTTTTTAACATTAAAATTTGAATTATACAATTATATTATATTTATCTTAAAATTAATTTTTAATACTAAACTTATATACATGTTGTCATGAAAATAATATTTCGCGTCGTTGCAAGATCGATATAGTAATGGTAATGATAGAGATGGATAAGAAAGGGTATAACAGACAGTGCCGTTGTCAAAAGATTGGCTATATCTCGGTTGTGCCCCGCTTTCTAGTAAAATTGCTTCTTTTATTTTGTCATTTGATGACGCAATTATGAAATAATCGCATAAATTTTCCAAGATTTACTTGAACGATAATTATGCGATAGTAATAAATTACTTTCGAAGACATTTGTGACAGATAATTAAATGCAACGTCAAATAAACGGATGAGCAAATTTGTGATGAAAACTGTAAATACAGCAAATAATATAATAATATTATATGTCAAAAGATTTTTTTAACATTAAAATTTGAATTATTTATATTTATTATATTTATCTTAAAATTAATTTTTAATTAACTATTATTTTTTACGAAACAAGATCTTTGACTAACTTGATGATAATAATAAATAAAATAAATAAAGAAAAAAATAGAATTAAAATTAAAATTAATATTTCCTTAATGCGAATTATTTTGCCAATATGCCTGATATATTAAAATATTAATAATTCATTTTAAAGATTATTTTTTTTATTTTTTACATAATATTTGAATTAATAATTAGAGATGTTACATAAAAAATAATTTATTTAGGCAAAATTAAATTAGAGAAAGCTCAAATGCAGACGCTAAAATTCACACTTACACTCTGCGCGATCAGTGGATGCTGGCAGCCACTTTCATGGACATCGCCATCAAAACAAATAATGTATAACGGTTATAGAGTGTTATTAATCTGCTTAATAAGCGCATTTGCAATATCACAATTCATGAATATTATATTAAACATTAATAACTCCGACGAAATCAGCGACAGCATGTATATGACATTAGCGGTATTCATTGGGACTTATAAATTAATTATTCTGTGGAAAAATGATAAAAATATTATAGCAATAATCAATGCTCTTGCGGAAAAACCTTTTAGTCCGTTGGAATCACAGGAAGTAATAATTCAACGAAAATATGATGAAATAATAAAGTGAGCATTATTTGTTCATATTACACAAACAAGTGCATCAATTGTGATTCAATAATTGATTGTCGAATAATTATATTTTAGTTCTTTTATTACGTTTTACAATATTATAAAGTGGACATAATAATTTCTATAGACATTAGATTTATATACGGAGTGTTCTAGGTTCGCTGCATCATTTGCTAATGGCAGATTCTTGAAATCATTTAAAGACATTATTTTCTCAGCGAAATTGTCATTAATAATTTTCGAGTTATAAGCGATTAAAAAAGAAGAGCTTTTTGCAAATTTTATGAAATTAAAAGATTACCATTATTCTTTAGTTAATTTTAGGTAGAGTTTACTTTAATAGATATTTAATTTTTAAAGCTTAGCCACAAAGATAAATAATGGCAAAAATTGGAAACATGCCAAAAATGATGACCTATCTTGACATTTTCGCTAAGTAAAAATCATCTCCAAATGATTTCAGGAATCTGCCATTAGCAAATAGTGCGGTGTAACTCTGGGACATTCTGTATAATAAGAAACATTTTGTAGGAAATACACATTCCGTTATTATCTCCTTGTGCAAATAACAGTTATATGCATAATTTTAAATTCTGTCTTCATGGATCTTCCGAAAGAAAACTTGACGTACAGAGCATGGCTACCATTCGATTATACGCCACCCTCTGTATTTTATTTCGTGTTCACTCACCAATTGATAGGCATGATGATCACTGCGGCCGTGAATGTTGCCTGCGACAGTTTGATATCCGGATTCCTTCAGCAGATTTGCTGTCAGTTGGAAATTCTGAAGTATCGATTGACAAAAGTCTTACATGACCATCATATCTTGCGTGATTGTATACATCATCACGACCGTATATATGAGTTAGTTCCTAAAGCAATGTTGTTATCTTAGAAGTTTGGATTGTAACATTATATGTGTTTGTGTATGTTCTTTTTTTCACACAAAATTTTTTTTTTTTTAAATATAATATAAAAATTATTAATCAAACAAAAACATATTTTATACAAAATAATAAATAATTTTAAAAATGACACACAAGAAAATTAAACTAAAATCTTCTGTCTAATTGCAGATACGCATATACGGTAAATCGCAGATTTGTGATAATAATTGCTGTCCAATTTGTAGTGAGCATGCTAGTGGTATGTGCTAATTTATACAAACTGGCTTCCATTACTAACTTGAAGATTAATGGAGATCTTATTACATTGATATTGTACACGGCCTGTATGTTATCGCAAATCTTTATCTATTGTTGGTTTGGAAACGAACTCAAGTTAAAAGTATGTAATTTTATTTAATATTGTGTGTCTTATATTTGTATATAATATTTTAAAAATTGTTAACTTTATACAATACTAAATGTCAAAACTTAATATGTTAACTTTAAATTAAATTAAAAATATTGTTTTTAAAATAATAAAATTATATTTATTTTGTAATTAATAAAAAACCACAAATATAAAATTGTAAAATTAACATTAATTGATAGCAACACGTATTTTGTTCAAAATATATAATATTTTTACTTACAGAGCCTTACGGTAGTAGATAGCATATATAATATGGAGTGGCAAATACTTGACAATAGTAGCCAAAAAGCTCTCTTATTCATTATGAGGCGCTCAATAATTCCAATTGAATTTAATAGTGTGATTATCATCACATTGAATCTTGATTCGTTTGTGTCTGTCAGTATCAATCAGTATGATTTGCCCCCTTGTTGTTTATTGTAAATATTTCAAATAATATTAAATATTTTTACAGTTACTTAAAACATCATACTCGGCTTACAATGTGCTTAAACGCACATCATAAGGACGAGACTGATAAATCAAAATTATTATTGTTCACACATTTCGTTACTTATGACGCAACATAGCAAGATATGCTAGAGTAAAAAAATAAATAATATATTTTATGTAATATATTGTTAATATTAAGTAGTAAGTTTTTACATAATATCATAAAATATCAATTGATAAAACTAAAATATTTTACGCAATTGTGTTCGCGCGCGCGTTATTATATTGTTTAATTAGTTTTTTAAGTAAATTTATTAAAATTGGATGTGCAGAAATATTTGTGCGCAAAGTATGTATCCATAACAATTATAATTTATTTTCTAAATTTATTATTTTCTCTCTTTTTCTCATTAATAAAAGATAGTCAAAATCAACTGTTTTCTGTTAATGAATCAATCTGTGGACTTGTTTACTTTCCAAAAACTGCATCTTAAATTTTCCGGCAATTTATCGAGAGATGAAAATAAGAGTAAATGAGAAAAGAATAAGAATAAATGATTTTTGGCATCAAAGTGTGAATGCTGTCAGATATCGAAAAGGAAATGCACACACATAAGCATATAAATAAATTGCACAAACATTCACGAAAATAGTTTGATTTGCTTTACATTATATTATAAGAGTTGAAATTTTTTTCCTTACCCGTTATGTTCGACAAGAAGAAAAAAGAGGAACTGATATTAAACAAAGTACTAGCTATAGTATTCTACTATATCACGACATACAGTCAATATGAAATACGACAAAAATGTCTAAGCGAAAGTATGGACTATTGATTTCATCAAAGTAAACTACAGCTAATGATTCGTTACATTATGCTAATAATTCTTAATATTAAAAGAATATATACGACGAAATTATGGACACAATACAGTAGATAGTAAATATAATATCTTAATGTACACATATATAATAGAGAAAGATGTATCAACGTTTCCTCATTCAATAGACTAATAATCCATTTAAAAAAAATTATTTTTCTTTTTTTCTGTCTCATTGTCTTCATGAAAATATTATTACGCGAGGTAATTTTTGCAAGTTGTATGTAAGTATTACAATAAGACAGATGTATAAAACAGAAATAGATATATATGAATAATATCATTATCAGAAAATCACATCGTGAGGCTATAGACATTTTCAATGTTCTTTTGTCTTCCAATGTTAACTTATCCATTGTCATTTGAGACGCGAGAGGGGACTTGAAGATAAATAATAATGCTTTTAAAAATTATACGAACAGTTTAAATTAGCTTTGACAATAGAGAACTCAAAGTAAATACAAATAATTTATGCAAGTGAATCAAAACAAAATTGTAAGTATAATGCATATTATATGTTAAAAAATTAATTAACATTAAAAAATATGAAACTGTAGAAAATGGTTTAGAAAATGCCATATATTCCACATATAGTAAATGATATAAAGATGATTGTTTTCCAACAGAAAAACTTTTTCTATATAATGTCAAATACAAATAATGTACAATTTTCACTATCTAACAATAAGAACATCTTATATAATTAAGCTTAAATTAATCAAATACATTTAAAAATATATAATATATTTTGTGTTTTGTATAAAATATATTTGTGTGTAAAATACTTAAAATATATTTAAAAACAATCTGATAAAAGATACTTTATTAAACGCATAAATATAGTAAAATAGAATTCATATTTTTATTAAAGATTTTTATAAAAAGATATATTAAGATTTTTTAATGCGTTTTAATAGATTTATATTATT